GTGTTTTATGTGGTTTATGTATTTTTAATCGCCCCTCCTTTTTCTTTGATGTATAACTTCTTTGTATCATGTGAAGAAAAGCAGCATACACTCCTGTATGGGCCGGATCACCGGCCTCCAGTATCTTGTAAAGAAATAAATAAACACATAAGTTAACAAAAACGAGCATATAGCAAATATAAAGCCAGTAACAATAAAACTGCTTACGTTAAACTGAAAAATATTCAAGTTGAGTTCAAGTCTAAGGCTCAACTAGCGCAAAGTAGATACCTTAACTCACTCGACGACCAGATTAAAACGAATCCAAAACAAATATGGAAATGTGTTAAGACAAATCCCAAGGAAACATTGTGAATCCCTCCGCCCATAGTAGAAAGCTCGTTACTTACGGAAGAATGGGCTAAGGCTACCTGCTTTAGTGTCTATTTTCAATCTGTTTTCAATCTAATTTTGACGGAAAAACATTTGTACTTGATTGAGGGTATACGTACGATAAAATGCTAAAGATAATAATCGGCCACAATGACATTCTCAGCCTGTTTAACAACCTTAAATTAGAAAAGAACCCGACCGATATTCTGAACCTAGTGCTCAAATCATGCGGAGACATGATTAGTTGATACCTCTTTATTATTTTTACGCGGTCATTGCACTATATTTTTTTTGCCTCAGGACTGGAAGAATTCAAACGTTGCACCCGTACATAAATCTGGTGCAGGAACAGTCTTCAAAATTATAGACAAATATCGCAAGCTTGTGTTTGTTTTAAGATAATGGAGCGTATTATTTACAGCAATTTGATTTCCCACTTAAATACCACTTGTGTTTTACTCCCTCCCAGCACGGTTTCCGGGTCGGGTTTTTTGTTAAATGAATTTGCGCATGACCTAGCACAGTCGGTGGGCAACTAAAAAACAAGTCGATTGCATTTCTTTTAATCTTTTGATATGGTTCCGCACTGTATTTTATGGAGAAATTAAAGCTGGATGTTGATAGGAACGTGTACTATTGGATTCCAAGTTTCCTGAGCGAGCATAAACAATCTGTTGTTATGAATGGGGTGGAGCTTGCACCGGTAGATGTAACTTCCGGAGTGCCACAGGACTCAGTCGTTGCTCTCGTTAATTTACGTAAATGACATAACCAAAGTCATTGACTCGCACCAGCGGCAATACAATGACGACTGCATTTTTACCGGTAAATCAATTCAGACTCAGGCATACTAGAACTTCGAAGCGAAAACTTCAAAGCGATTCAGGTAAAATTTGTCTGTGGTGTTCACGAAGGAGAATTACTTTGAACGTCTCAAAGTGCTGTCATGTAAGGTTCACAAGAAAGCGTAATTATTATCAGTCAGTTCACACAATGCACGACGAACTTTTACACGTTAAATAAAGAAGCTAAGTTAATTGAAGTACATTTTTCTGGTGATTTAAAATGGTTAACAGGATGTAATTTATGTAACGGGAAAAGCTAGAACCTTGGGTTTTTCTACGGAGAAACTTTTCGAGTACCCAAAAACATACACTTTTTTCTTCCTGTGCGTAAAACTTATCCTTGAATATGCCCCCCCCCCCCCCCCCCGCCCAGTATTGTATGGGATCCCTCTCAACACTGCCTAGCTGATAGACAAAATGGAAATAATCCAAAGCCATGCAGCGAGATTTGTTACGAATTAGTATAGTTTTCAAAATGTTGTCTCCGCAATAATAAATGAGCTGCAATGGAAATCACTTGCTGCTAGGCGTAAGTAAGCATTTGCGTCGAAAATTTATTCTCGAGATTTTTTTATGATTTGGCAAAAATGAAAAACTCGCAATATCTGTTTGAGCCGTTTTGTGTATCGTACAGTGGATAGGTCACGAACTAAAAGTTCGTGGATGCGCATTAAAGTCTGATTTATTCCGTAACCATTTTTTTCCACGAACAATAAAGGAATGGAATAGTTTGCTGAACGAAATTGTCACCTTGGAAAGTACAGATTATTTTTTTTTTTTTTTCTCAACTCCAGCGAGTTATAGTCATCATTTTGCTGTACAGCTTATTAACTGATTCTGTGTAAAAAAACTTGATGCAATCTTTAGCTGGGTTTCTTCTGTTATTCGTGAACGTTATTATAGGCTATATATGTTTTGTTATTATATGTCTGAACGTTATATGTAGGGTTCGGAGTTTTCGGTTTTAACCGATAAAAACCGATAAAAGTACGCCGAATCCAGTTTCGAAAATTCGGTTTTAACCGAAAAAGGTCAGTTTTTAGGTTCGGCATTTTCGATATAAACCGATAAAAACCGATAAAAGTACGTCGAATCTATTTTCTAAAGTTCAGATGTAACTGGAAAAAGGTCACCTTGACCTTCCAGTCGTACCGCAGAGCTATGGCGAAAGAGTGGAACGACAGTGTCTATGGAAACGTGTCCGAATGTATGGGATACACAGATGCCATCAGGACGTTTTGGTTTAATGTGCGCATCATCGGTCACAACGTGAAGCCCGAAATGCCGCATGACTTCGCCATGTACAAGCGTGTTTTCAAACTCGTTGTAAGGAAGACTGACTTGATGCAAGCTCTGCATGTTGTGTTGTGCTTGAAAACGTCGCAACCTCTCTCTTTTGACGGTCACAATTGGTTGATTGGCCGATTTTGACTCAGGCAGCGCTTCATCTTCACAGCCTGCCAGTGTCCAGTGTTAGCGTTGGGAGGGCATTCTCGAAGCTCAGTGTCATTTAACAGCAAAGAAGAAGTGCGGATCAACGAGGAGAACCTGGGAAAGTACATGTGTGTGTACTATAATAAGATCACGTAATCCTGATTTACACGAAAGGAGGTTCCATGCTTTTCGGCATGGGCTTCATATCTGACTTGTTCGTACTTCTGTGTTCTTTTTTTTTTTTTTTTTCTTTTACTGTTGCACACATTTGCCAAATAAAGTGTCCATTTCTTTTTCATTTTATTTGTGCCGTTATTTTTTGAGTGCTCACAAATATCCGAGCTACAATGATCATCTGATCGGGTGTCCGTTGGTGTTTATTTTATATTCACCGAAAAAAGCCGATGAACTTTTGTGAGCATAAATATACGCCGAAAAAAACGAAAATCGAATTTGAAAATAAACACCGAAAAAAGTGCGCCAAATTTTGAAAAAATAGAAACCGAAAACGCGGAATCCTAGTTATATGGTATTATATGGTTGAACATAATATGTATGTGTGTTCCTCTACAGTAATGCCCTTTAGGTAATAAATAAAACAAAATTCAGCGGTTTCATAACAGCGGAAGCCAAGATCACGGCATCAATTGCTTGGAAATATGACCCTATAGTTGATGTCTTTGTAGATATTATGTGACGTTTACAAGATTGGGGAACTGCCGTTAGTACAATAATGAATCGCGCATGAAGCGGACTTTAAGAGATTTGGTAACTTTTACAAAACTTAGATAAACACCGAAATTATATTGAAAAAAAAAAGTTAAATTACTCTTATTTTACCAAGAGAAGAAATAAACTAACTCTTTAAGCAGATGTTGAAGGATACTAAAAAGCCTCGGTCGCCTTTATCGTGGGTTTCCAACAGCGATCTGCGCCGCGCACATTCACATTTCTATATACAATTGGATTCCATCGTTAATCTTATCCCACGCATTACTCTCCTCATCTTCAAAGAGTAAGCAAAACGTCAAACGTCGCATCATCAGAATCAAAATATTTCCGTACCCCCAAAAAGTATAAAGATGATGTTTTCATGCGCTGTTGGATGTAAATTAACCCTCTTTCTCATTAATAACTGGAGCTTTAACTCTGTAGTGTGTACCACCGAAAGAAGAAAACAAGCAGATTTCAGAGCCCATGACCAAGAGACATATAAACCGCGAATCGCCCTTGAATTGGGCTATCTATGTCAAGCCAACAGGTCCTTCTCCGATATCGCGGTTGTTGTGGTCGTTACTTAATTTCCTGCTTTTCAACTGGTCTCACACCTTGGACGCTGGACTCCTGATACTACATAAAGAAGTGCGGCCGAGCAAGAATTTGGTCGGCGGAATCTTGTGAAGGCAGTAAAACTATATACTTTTTGCCGAGTGGGGCGTTTGTCACCTATTAATATATAGTGCGTGTTAATAGTGCTGAGATATAAAACGGAAGATGTTCAGTTCACGAGTCGTGATCCTGCGGGAGTTGTAGGGTGCGCTAATCATTCCCTCGAGATAATTTTCCATGAATAATTGTGGTTTATTGTATGTTGCAGAGAAATGATAAATGTCATAATTGGGTTTCGGGTTGCCTTTGGCGCAAATTTTTTGTTGTCAAAATACGATTGCACTAACGGTCTACTCATATATCACCCTTTCCAGCCCTTAATCGTGGTGTATATTTGTCAAGTGCATACCTTTTCAGGCGACAGTAATTGTATTCCAGTTGAGCTATAGGTTTTAAGCTTAGCACCTGATTGACTTTTATTTAGTCTGAAAATAAATAATTACGATCATAAAAAATTGATGGCTGAGCGAAAACAAGCAGACTAAACATGTTGTAATTTACGAGCATTTGATCGTGTTAAATACTATTTAAACGTTTAATCTGAACTGTGCACGCGTCCAGCTACAGCAATTCATACGCTTATAAGTTATGACTTGTAACTGGGCCACACTCGATTACAGTCACTGTAGTCACAAACATCTTAAGAAACGCCCGGTATGGGGCGAATCTCGAGTATCCTTTTACCACTCCGCAACCAATCAGATTGCTGTATTAGACGATAAGAACACCTGACGACCAATCACGAAGTGAGCAGCGTGTTCCTATATTAAGCCGCTCCCTGCGGTTCTATAGAGGGGTCAGCGACTTCAGAGGACAATATTTCACGGAATGAGAGAATGTGTTTTAAGTGTCCATGATTCACCGTACTCGTGTCACTGTCTTATGAACATAACCGAATCACGGGATGTTCGTGTATCCGGCGCATGCGCAGAAGAAGTGAGCAGACAAACAAAGAGGCTGTTTTGTGTCGTACGCTTTTAAATAAACAATCGGAAACACAGACTGTTACAATTCAGTGACAGATTTCTTAACACGACGTCTAAGTTCGAATTGTAGCTTCACGCAGGCCCGACCAGAAGTGCATGAACCGCGAAATAGAGACTCATTGCTAAATCGGCGATTAACAGGATTTTTTTTCTCTCTCTTTCTTTTCACGTAGGCGAAACAAGCAAACTAACAAACATAGGAACAATTGGCACAACGTCCCGGCAACACTCCGACACATCCTTTCAATTCATTTCTGATACGACCTGCCAAAAAGAAACAATATGGATGCAATAAAATAATACTATAAATAAAATAATCGCGCCACAAGAACGTGTATGGCACTGGCTAGTTTTATTATGGTCCTCAATTTGGGCCGAGAAAGTGCACGCGATCAGATCAGTCATGCAAGGTCTCTTACGACCCCGGTGAAGAGAATTGCGCGTGCCAGCCGCGCCGCTGGGTGTGCCATTTAGTAGCTATAATGTTAAAAAAGTACATGAGCCTTTCCACTGGCTAAACATTCTCCGAAACTATATGACTGTTGTATCTAAAGACCGATCGTACCATCAGAGAGATTCAGTGACCATGCATCGGGCGAAGAAAAACAACTCAAGACTTAAGTTAACAAAAAGTAAACTTCATCAAGTGTCCAGGTAATTTACATGAGTGTCGAGGTCTCAAGAGTTTGGAATTGACCACATGCCTCTGAAATAAACTCCACATTCGGAACCAAAGTTGGCATCTGACTGCATATACCCTAAGCATAGATGATGCTGCAGTAAGCATGGACCACATGCGCTGCGGGCGGAGGATGACAGACACCACTGATCGATGTCGCCATGTCCAGGCGCAGATATCACCCGCGGTTCAGGATGAACACTTACTCTTCAGATCTTCCATGGAACGTATGGACGCACGGCGTTCAAGAGATGTCCTTTGGAACGACCCCGGTTGACTGTCGTCATCACGATCTAAGCTGCATACTTGTCCGTCAAATGGCACACTGTCATGTCGCTCCAGTACCTCCGCAATGTTATGTGTCACCAAGCGACGTTCAATGGCCAGGAACAAGTCATCGAGGAGGGGCCATGATGATTACACACCGGTGTCACTACCTTGGTAACCGTCGTTGCTCGAGCGATCCGCGCAGCGGGGCAAGTCATGCCATCAAAAGAAGTCCACGCTTATGAGGACACCCTTTGAGACACTACCTTGCTTGTCGATGACTCGCTTGTTGGTCGACGTCCGCGGAGTCGGTTCTGCCATCTTGGACCTTCAACGATGCCATCAGGACGTGCAACTCGCAATCATCATCATCATTGTCATCATCGTGGAGGCCATGGCTGTTGAAGACAAGGTCTGCAGAAGCCTGCGAGGACGCCAGCGTCCTGAAGCCGTTGCTGTTGCTGCTGCTGTTGAGCGTTCAGCTTGTCTCCGATTATGCTGTCAATACTGAAGCTGGTCGGAGTCAGCGGGGACTTCCGGCGTTCTGCAAGCACCAACGGCGGTGGCACTGCAGGCGGTACCATGGGCGGCAGGACGTGGAGTGCCGGGTGCAGCGGTAGTGGCAGGAACTGTTGATGTTGCTGGTACGGCAGCGGGGGCACCAGCCCGGCCGCCGGGAACAACGGATGGTGTCTCAGCAAGTCCCCGAAGAAAAAGCCGTCGGCGACGGGGTCAGGTGGCGTCCGCTTATATCTTTTCCGCCGCCGCAAGAAGCTCCCGTTGTCGAACATGTCCTCACTCGCCGGGTCCAGGGTCCAGTAGTTCCCCTTGCCGGGGTTGCCAGGCTCCCGCGGAATCTTCACGAAGCAGTCGTTGAGAGACAGGTTGTGCCGGATGGAGTTCTGCCACATTGGGTACTTGTCCCGGTAGAAAGGAAAACGGTTCCGGATAAACTCGCAAATGCCAGACAACGTCAACCGCTTCTCCGGACTCTGAAGAATCGCCATGGTGATGAGCGCGATGTAGGAGTACGGCGGCTTCACCGGGGGTGTCTTGCCGTCTACACTGCCCCCGTTCGCGGTGCTCTTGCCTGACGACTGGCTCTCCTTGGGCCTCGACTTACCCGACGACGAAGACTTGGACTTGGACCTCCCGGGCTCCTGGTAGGTCCTGGCGTTCTGCTGCGAATGCGACACGTCTTCGTGGCGGTCGTACGACGCCAGCGTGGGGGCGCCGTTTGCGCCACGCTGCTGCTGTCTCACGGGCCCTCCGGTGAAGCCCTGGACTGGGCTGACGTAGCGGGGGGCACCGCCAGCCACGGCGGCCCGGCAGCTCTGCAGGCTGAGTTCGACGGCGTCACGCATCGGATTCAAGTCCGCCGCGCAAGGGTCGACGTGGTCGTCGTCGTCGCCGTCGCACGACGTATCCGTGCTCCGGGGTTTTGGGACTCTCCGCTCGACGTTTTGGGGTGTTCTCCAGCGGCGCGTGTGTGTTGTTGGAGTGGGGGACGAACGCTTGGCGGCTCGCCGGAAGCAGGGAGTGTGGGGGGGTGGTAGGTGGGACTCGTGGAAGGTCCCGCCTCTCGGTTCCGTCCCCCTTCGGGCCTTCGGCGGCGACGGGCCACCGACGGAGGCGGGGTTCTTGCGGTGGGAATAATAATAATGGCAGCGGCACGGCGCGGCGCTCTTTCAACGTTTCGTTTGCTTTTTTATCGCGTCCGGGCGTTTATTATCGTTTTCGAGCGATTTGCTTCTTTTCGGCGGAGATATATACGCTTGTGTGCACGGTCCTGAGGTCTGTTCCTTGTTGAAAAGAGAGAGAGGGGGGGGGGGGAGAAGGAAAGGGAAAAGGGGGAGGGGGGGTGACAAGTGGGGATGAGGAAGGGAGCACGAAGGGAAAGAAAGCGTGTTCTCTCAGACTGCTGCGCGGCGTTGCATCGAGCCAAGAGCTTTCGGTTCGGTTTCGTTTCTGGGGCATCTTTCCCGTCTCCGCCATTTTTTTCTCCTTGTTCTTAGTATTTTACTTTGCCAAGGTGAAGTGTTCTTGCATCCTCACATAAGCACAAGAGAGAAAGGGCTGTATCTTGACAAGAAAGAAGTTATCCATATAGCTTCCCTTGCGGACGAGGTATATACTTTGCCCAGGGATCTTCGATTGTAAGGAGGGTAAGGAAAGGAGGAAAGATTTGGAAAGGACGCTTCGAAAGAGCGTGTCAAGTGAAAGAAAAGAGCGAAGTGTATGTGCTTGCCGGAATCACTAACATGCCAGTTCTGTGGTGCTATGTTGTTAGTCCGAAACGTTCAGGTATTGTACGTTGGCACTAAACCATCCTCAGTGGAAAAAAATTAAAAAAAAATGTTTGGGTCTGTCATTTTTAAAATATTCTTAAGGGGCGTCGGGAGGCCTAGGAAAGTGTTTCTTTGTAACATTTTTTTTTTAAACTGACAAAAAAAAAGGATTTCTTTCTGCCTAATATTTGACAGGTTGTTTGTTATGCACACGAGTCGAAAAGTGCATTGTCATTTTTTTTCTCTCTCCCAGTATTGGAAAAAGACGTTTGCGACGAATATAGCTGATCCGAGGTGTGATATAGCGAAGGACCTTGTTGTTGAACCTTTGTAGAAAGCGACGCCAGCTGTTTCGGATGCTTGGGGCTTTGTCGCTGCATCCGTACTCTTATCGTCGAGGTTCTCCCTGGTCCTCGCCAATGTCAAACACATCTCAGGTACAATGCACGTCGCAGAAGCTTAAAATAAATTTATTAGGATCGAGGACCTGATCCTATACCGATATGTAAGTTAAAGGTGCATGTATGCAGTTCATTTCAAATGCCTAAAAAATATACGTGATTTAAAAATTAAAAAGAAGCGGAAGGAAAGACGTGCGTATATGTTCGCAAACATCGACTTCTCTCCCTGCTTGTAATATTTTTTTTATTAATATTATTATTAATGCGCAGCAACATAATCCAAGTTTCGACACTTTTTTTTTTTTTTTTTTGCATTTGCATTAGGCAGGGCCGGGTGGCAGTACCCGAAATGCGAAGCCCTTTATACTGCCCAATATGTGCTAGTTAAGAAAATACATGGTGCTTTATACACTAGACATTAAATATGTGGATCGCTTATACGTATTTTATGATGTAAAGCATCTTGTATGAAAATACCGTGTTATAAGTACTACAAGAATTTGGATGTATGACACAAATAGTACTTTAAATATAGTGTATTTTATATAAGTATATACTTTAATGGAAACAGATTTTAAATTACAGCGTATTTTAAATACTGTTTCTGTGATACAACCGGTGTTCATCTTTAAGTGTTTTATGTATGGGACATGTTAGTAATACTCTAATCACATTGATTCGGGCACTAGAATAATACTCTCAATAATGAAATTTGAATACTGCACTAATGCTAAAATTGCGAAATTTCAGTGCTATAGTAATACTCTTAAGAGAGGAATTTAAATAGGTACTACAGGAATACTTTAAGTAAAAGCATTTCGTACTACAGTATTGATATTCTAACAGTTATATCCTCACGACATCGGACTTAAAATGTCGAATGACGCTCCACATTGTGGATTTATCAAACTCATGTCTACATCTTTTTGCTGCGTAAAGCAGCACGATATGTATCAACATGAAAGGGAAGGATGCCCACTACGTAGACATTGAAATGAGTCAGGGTTTTCTTAAATCATGAACGTAGATATGTTTGCTATGAGACGCAGCACAATGTGTCCGATCCACGGTCCGCCACTCTCTAGTTTCCGTTCTATCGTAGAACAAAATAAAAAGAAACAAGTATACGTGTCCTGTGTCCACGTCTTGATTTCGAAGAGATAATATGCTATAATGCTGTATCGATATATCTGAACGGAAAGTGCAGGATTCATGGATTTTGGAAGACGAAGCAACTCAAGATAAAAACAAACGATGTTGATTTTTTTTTTTTTTTATGAGGGAAAAGGGAGGGGGGGGGGGGGGGTTGTAGAAGGGTGTGTGCTTCTTGCTTAGCAATCATCGCCAGAAGTTGTTAGTTTGACGAATGGATCTGGCCCGTGGAGATTTTATTTGCCCAAACATACAAGTGTAGACACTGGCACACTGGTGACATCTACACTGATGGAAGCGGCTTTTGACCTTTTGTAGCAGGTTTTTTGTGAGCAGGCGAAATATTGCTTTGGAGCAGCCAACTGAAGCTTTTTGAGCAGATGCCAACATCTGTTGGCACATATCACTTGAAAACTAGAAAAAAAAAGTGATTGCAACGTTACATGAATTCATTTTTGATAATGATTGGGGTTCCTTTTTGATACTGGAGCATATATTACTTATTACCTTTTTCAATAAAAATAAATGTGGCGCACAAGGAACACAAAGCCTTCTTCTTAAAAATAAGGCTCCGGTGAAAGTAGTTCTCATTTACGAAGGGCACTAAAAATGGACGATACATGATTTATAGTGCAACGCTTCGATCGGGATAAAGCGTATCTCCCCTCCCACTTTTACACCCGGTAATTTATTTAGCCTCTATCTGTAATTGTTTTAAAATGCCAACCAAAACCAGCATATTGGCTAACACGTCTATAATAAAAAAAAAATCGAGGCAGTTGATCGATTAACTTACCGATTAATCGTTGAATGTTTTGGTCTCGATTCATTCTTTTAACCGCTGAAATTTGGACGAACCAAGAAAAGACAAAAAAGATGCGCTCTCACCACGCAGACGTCGACGGATATACCTGTTCTTACAATTTTAAGCTAAGGTAAAACTGTACGGGCGAGATATGCAACCCCAGACGAGTGCAGAAGCAATTACACTTGGCTCGGCCACTTAAACGCCTTTCGAGTGTCCGTTTAGCGGAGCAGAGCTGATTGTGAACAATGCAAGGAGTCAACTTTTGCCCGAGAATATCAACGAACCTCTTCGCATCGTGCAGCTGAACTAAGAATCTGTGAGTGTCTTTGAACTGCTTTCAACAGAACACATCGGGGTTAATTCATATTTGAAATTGTATATTGCACCGTTTGTCACATTTCAGCAAAAAAAAAAAAAAAAAGGAATGCATTGGAATGAACGAGACTGCTTAATCGATGAATCAATCGATTAAAGGCTGACGACTAATCGGAAAAACGTTTTTAATCGACGCCTATAGTTCCTAAATGTTCTACGAACCTACCAAACTCAAAGCTTTAATATTATAAACTGCAAAAATAACCACCCACAAACAGTACGGAAACGTACACTTGTATACTCTAAAGGTGGCACAGCTCTTTAGCGACGTTTGAACCAGAGCGAAGTCAAAGTTCGCTGCTTTCGATCGACAGCTGCACGAAAACTACCTTAACTACCGTATTTATTCAAATATAGACACGCATTTCTTCTTTTTTTTTTTTGGTGCAATTTTTTTTTTTTTTTTTAATTTAGAGATTAATTTATCATCAAGACCAAAGAAAGTAGACCTGGGGAATAGTACTGATTATAATTTCCGAGCCTTTTTGCGCTAACCCGGGCGCTCCCCCGTATCAGCCGCTGCTCCTAACACTCCGATGCAAAGCGGTGAAGCTCGACGTACCCGCGCTGCAGGTGAGTGTCGGCACGGCGGTACGCGGTAGGGCCGACGCTCGCTTATATCGCTCGATTATCACCGTCGGCCCTACCGCGTACCGCCGTGCCGACACTCATAATCGAGCGATCTCATCAGCCGGAGTACAAGACCCTGGTTCCGTCTTATCACATAGCCCCGATCCTACTATTTTGCAATCGTTTTCTCGCGACTTTCAGTTCCTGACGTCGTCAACATCGTCTGGAAATTGAGACGGTGTCGGCGACGAACCCCCCGCCCCCCCCCCCCCCCCCCCTTCCCCCGAGCGCATCGTCCGCCCAGCGCGGTTGGCGAGCAGTCTCAATACTTCGCTTCGCCTTGACTCAAAGCGCAGTCGACGCTGCGAGTCAATGGGACCAACAAAACAGCGTCAAAGCGCGACGCAAACATGAAACAAACTATGTGCAGTGAGTAGAGACGCTGCAAAATACATATACTTGTGTCATTTTCAGTTCCTCCTATACACTTCTCTGAATGTTAAAATCGACCAGATAGAAAATATTGCATTTCATTTATGACGTGACACATGGAACGGCAAATCACTATAGAAAAAAGGTGTTGCAGTCCTTGCGAGAACAAGTGTACGTATCTATCTGCGAGACGTTTAGAACATTGTCGAAAGATTTCTTTAAGCCAATAGTTAAAGAATTATGCCAGAAAAGAAGGAAATAAAGGGAAATGTTAAGTGTACCACGGAAACCCGAGAGATGACGCCAGTATAGTGTCTCGTGATAAGAGATCTCGAGAGTTTTTAAGGGACTCCAGTAAGCGGTCGCATGTGTGTGAATCAGCCTTAAGGGGCGAATTTTAGAGCTACCACAAGTAACAATATTTTCGGAATCACCGGCCCTTTCCCTTTCCGGTATGCTCATTGAGTATC